AACCTGGTCAGGTTTCAATATCCTTATGATAATCATATTTGTTTTGATCCCCTCCCAAAATAATATGGTGAGGAACTCATTAAAATATCCTGTAATCACATGAATATTCACATACTCAATAGATTAAGTCATTAAGTCATCTTAAAATATAACATTTTATAAAAAGTGATTTACCCTGGAAACTGAATGCCATTTCTGAACCCTGTCATTGTGTTAATCTCCACCCTGTTTTTGAGAGATTGCTAGTAGATAATGAATGCTATAAGGATGTCCAACTGTTACAGCCAATTTATCAAAGAGTAAACTGTTGTGGTGTTTTGCTCTAAATGGACTAGTCCGACCTTCACCTAGAGCATCACTCCATCTTTGAATAGCTATGCTCCTGTTTATAAAATACAGCAAAGTTAACTCACTAACTGAAAGCTTGGTCAGTTATGCTGGTTGTGATCTATTGGTGAGTCATGAAATTAATCACAATCAGATTATCTAAAAAATAATATAACGGAACACAATAGAATAGAAAATCCCAGAGGTAATCACCCTGGAGAGAAAAAGATCATTTCAGGAAGCTTTTGTTTCAATCACACATCTGGGTACATCTTCTTGGAAGATGATATAGTATGGACATTCTGTAAAGTTCTAAAACTTTTACATTAGGGCACCTGTCAGCATCCTCTTATAGAAAACTCCAGATGACAAATAATTGTAGTATTTGTCCTCAGTAGCCAAAACCCATATACACTCCAGTGTTTCTCCGTGTTTCATGAAACACCCAGTTTAGAACATCTTGAGGAGCTTGTTAAAATGCCGATGTAAGGCCTCACTTCATAACTACTCCATGAGAATCTCTAAAGGTAAGCTTGGCCATCTTCAGGGGTAGCAAGCACTCCAGGTTTTTCTTATGCAAAATAAGAGGAATCACTTGTCTATCCCTGTAGTCCTGGACTTTTCCCTTCTTTGTCTACCTGAAGGAAGTCATAGCCATCCCATTTTATATCCCATCATGCACTAGACTAGCAAAGACTATTATACAGTAGATGGTTCTGAACCAACATCATGCCGCCTACAAGGTGGGTAGGCAGCCTAGCAATACCTGTGCACGGCTGTGTGGACTGACTGTAGGCACTGATCACTGGACAGTATCTCTGTGCAAGTAATTCAAATAAATGTTCAGAACTGTGATTGACAGTTTTAAGTCTTCTTCCTTCTCTGAAGAATTGCATTGCATCCTTCACCATGCCATTGTGTTGTGAGCAGAATCCAATAGGTTTCTGCAATATTTGGTGCCTAGTTAAGATCAGCTCTCAGTAGGGGCATGACATGATGGGGCTACACTTATCCAGACTGTAACATTTACCCAGCACAACCACCCAGACTGCAGACATAACGCCTAAGAATGACCCATAGGTCTTCCAGTGAATGCCTTGTCAACTAAAACCTACAAAAAATCATGAAAGATAGCTCATATCCTATCTGAATTTTGATAGATGGATAGATAGTTGCTTATGGGATTTTAATGATTGTCAACCATCCCTGGGCAGAAACTTCTTTTTTCTTTACATTACTTATTACTACCATATCTCCTACAACCTTCCTTGAAAATAAATTCCAATAATTTAGCCGGGCTCGGTGGCTCAGCCTGTAATCCCATGCCTTTGGGAGGCTGAGGTGAGTGGATTGCCTGAGCCTGTGGGTTCGAGACCCACCTGGGCAGCGAGACCTCATCTCTACAATAAATCAAAAAAAAAAAAAATCAGCCGGGCGTGGTAGCGCATGCCTGTAATTCCAGCTACTTGGAAGGCTGAGGTGGAAGGATCGCCAGAGCCCAGCAGGTCGAGGCTGCGGTGGCTGGGAGCAGCCACTGCACTCCAGTCTGGGCGACAGAGTGAGACTCCAACTCAAAAAAAAAAAAATTCCAATAATTTATCTCTTTGTAATTTAAACACACACACGTGTGTGGGTGTGTGTGTGTGTGTGTGCGTATGTATAAACAAAACTTAATATATTTTCTTTCATTTATTCTATTTGTCTCTGGTGAAAATATTAAAGTATTGATGAACAGTACAGTTCACGATAACAATACAGTTCACACATACAAACATATAATGCATAATGACAGGGATATGTTCTGAGAAATGCATGATTAGGTGATTTTCTCATTATGTGAACATCAGAGTATACTTACACAAACCTAGATGGTAAAGCCTACTACATAGCTAGGCTATATGGTATAGCCTACTGTTCCTAGGCTACAAACCTGGATAGCATGTTACTGCACTGAACGTCATGGGCAATTGGAACACAATAGCATTTGTGTATCTAAACATAGCTACAAATAGAAAAGATACAGTAAAAATATAGTACAAAAGATAAAAATAATATACCTACATAGGACTCCATTATAATCTTAGGGGGGCGCCATCATATAAGTGGCCTGTTGTTGATCAAAACGTCATTATGCAGCACATTACTGTAATCAAAATTTTATAACTTAGCCCCTTCATTTTCCTTTCTCTATAAAATTGTGCAAATTGTTTCAGTTTCCACTCACATAGCTGTACTATCAAATAACTCTTTTTAAAAATTCCAAGGCTCATGTTGATTTTTCTTCTCATGTGCCAGTCTCTTGTACTTATGAAACTTATGAGTGTCTGTTAAATATTAATTTGTCTAGAGCCTGGACTAAGTAGGTATTTGCTCACATGTTCTTTTATTCTTTTGTTCTCAAGTTTGCCCTTTCTCTCCAGCTGTTCATTAGCTTTCCACAGGGCTTTATTAAATGTCAGTAGTTTCCAAATGCAGTCCTCTGTTCCACATTAACCCAAGCACTACAACTTTTATTCCTCTGACACACTTAGCTTCTAATAAAATTTCATCTGAAATGTTCCTCAGCTTTAAAACAAATTTGAAAATCACTACTTGTAGTAGATGATGCTGTGTTGTTCCTTAAAACTCGTTTCATTTTCTTCTTCCTGAGCATATAGGGAGACTGCTTCTTAACTTCATGTCAAGTGAGGTTGGAGACAAGGAGTTTGTTCTACATTACAACCCCTGAATAAAAGTAATAGGCATCCCTTTCACCATGAGAAAAATAAAAGCACCCAGGTGACCCTCTAACTCTTTTTCTCCCATGGTTGCAATTGAGGAGGCCCCCTATAGAGATGACAGAAACATAAGATCTTAGCAAACCTGGATCCCTGAGTTTCTATGTGTAGTAAAGCTTCCTCGGATCATTATCCAACCAGTAATACATTTTGCCTGGGCAAGAAATAAACTTTCAAGTGGCAATCCATTGAAATTTTGTTAGTATTGATTGATAAACACAGAAATTGATGCCAGAAGTGGAATGCTAGCCGAATTAAAACTTAAATTGTATGGTGTTCTCTCAGCAGTTGGGTAGCTAGTACATACAGTACTCTCTGAAACTAAGCCCCAGAGGCTGAAACAGAACAGTTAAAATGACTGGTGACCAGTTTATATATTTTACAGTAAAATTACAATTTAGATTTTAAGAAAACCTGTTGAAACGTGGGAGTGATGTGACCCATAAGAATTTTTATCTTATTTTTAGAGAAAGAAAGACATACTACCAATTACAACTTTTGTGTAAGCCACTTAATAGTTTATTCAGACATCCAAGTCATGAGTGAGTTTTTCTCAAAGTGATATATAATACCTTTGTAATACCAGAGGGGTATACTAAAATATACCCTATGGTTTATATATTGTATAATCAGTGATGCTGTGGGTGCCATGTCACCATCGAACTCCCAGATGAACATGACAACCCTACACTGTTTCATAACTGCAAGCAGAAGGGAGTCGGGGAACTGCTGCCCACTCTTCTTATAGAGCATCAACTCTATGCACACAAGATATGGACAGGAGAACACAACCTCTTCCACATGAGGAAAAGATAACAGAATTTTCAAAGAGTATGTTACCTTTACCTTTCCCATCAGCCCTAAATTATGTAGCTTCCACATACCTTAACTGCATATTTTCTTCTTTGGCTGAGCATTTTTGTCTCTTAAAAAAAAAGTAGATCCCTAACATACTTCCCTTCCATCATGATGACTTCCCTTTTTATTGTCTGGATTGATTTTATAATTTTGTGTTACGTAATTAATTGTTACCTACATTACCTCTGTCTCCCTTATAATCATTAAACCACCCAAAAAACCCTCTCTTTTAAATATTCCACAGAGTTTAAGTCACCATAAAGATCAAATTTCGGATTTTCTGATGAAATTTTTATTTCTCTTTGAAGTTCTATCCTCTAAAGTTACAAATAGAACAAAACAGTTTTCTTTGTTTATTTGCTTGTTTTGAATAGCAAATGGTTCTGACATAGCCTCTATATTATATCAATTTAATTATACCTATATAGCCTTTATATATTACACATTGTAATATAGATATATATCTATCTGTATAACTCAGAATTGTTGTCTGCTTTTCTATCGACGGTTATTTCATCTGCAGATAAAATCTCCAAAACTATGAACTCAGTGGGACCCAACAGATTAAAACGATGTCATTCACTTCACTCAGATTACTCACAGAGGTTTCTGGCTCAGAAATTGGTCCAAAATATTTTGGATCTTTCCATGTTGTTTATATCACAAGGACAACCTCCAGAGTAAACATAAATCATTATCTTTCTTCTCTTGACTGCCACAATTGAAGATTAAGGACCATGGGGATATCTGATGCCTCCTTTGTCATTCAAAGATATTTTTTTAGCATGGCCTCTCCAGTCCAGAACATGGAGAATATTGGCAAAGTGATTCTAAGGAAAGCCCAATTCCTTTCCGAAGTCACCAAACATATATCATATTATTTCCCTTGTCCCTCCTCCAGAGTGCCTAGCTAGAGAAATCTGCTAAGCACAGAAGGGAAAATGTGAATAGCATAGTCCTGCTGGTTCTTCCACCTCTGTGGGAAATAGCCAAGAACTCTTTTTTCCAGTCAGCATGAGAAGAAAAGGTGATACCTACCACTGTATGAACTGGGCAGCTTCTGCTGTCAGCCTTTGGGTGAGATTGTCATATGACATGGGCTGCTGGGCGATCTCGTAGTTCCTCATCAGGAAGCAGTTCAGGGGTCGAAAGTAATGAAGGAAACACAGGAAAAGACTCAGGATCATGGCTGCTAGAAGGAGAAGGCAAAAGAAAACGCCAAGAGGCACGCGAAGCAGTCCCAGGAAATTGAGTACTGCTAGAGTGAGGACAGCAACCCCGATGATCTGCAGGGGGATGAAAACCAACTTCTTGAAGCCTGTGGTGAAGACGCTGCCCTCCCCAGGTTTGCAGTCTCTCAGGTTGGTTACAGTGAGCCCATAGAAATAATCAAACCCATGACGCAAAGGGTGGTGACAAAAGTCAGTCTTGCTGTGACAGCTCATCCCAAGGTGCCATTTCCCTGAGAAGACAAATAAACACTTTAGTCCCAATAAACACTTCAATTTGAACACCAGCTTCTGATGCCCACACTCTAAAAAGTAGGTTCTTTCTATTCTATGAGTCAAGCCTTCCCACTCATTGGACTCTAGAGTTTTTCATTCCCTTTTCCACAAGCACTAAGGTATTACTTACTCACTCTGCCAAAAAAACAAGAACTAATTTAGAGATTGGAGGAAAAAAAGACAAAATAAAGCAAAAAAAAAGAACCCCAACCAGACCAAAAAAACAAAAACAAAACAAACAAAAACCCAGCTACCTAACATTAAAAGGCAAGAAACAAAACTACATAGAAAAATACAAGTGTTTTTTTCTGGGATGATGCTTTTCTAAGACACACCCTTAAAATTAAAGTGCTAGAACTAACTTAATTTTGTTAAAAGTAGAAAGGAATCCTTACTCAAAAACCTACTCCTGGGGCATGAGAAAATCATACTCAGTAATTCAGCAATTATTTTAAACACCTTTGAAAATTTCTTAAAAGAAGTTAATTATACCACTAAACTAATGAGTGTGAAACAAAAGAAAAAAGACGATAATCTTATAACAAGATGCCAGAAAAAAGAGAAGAGTATTTTGCTTCTGTGAGATTTTCTAGGATTCATCGGACCTGCTCAGACCCAAGCTCATCATGCAAACAGGGAAAACTCATCATTCCTATCAATAGGATAAAAATCAACAGGATTGTCAACTAAACCAAATTCTGATACAATTTTAGTACTGAATGGTAAAATAAAAACATTTACCAATAGCATGGTGCATATATGTAGTTCTGTATGCTATCTCTACGTATATCTGCCTATCTACCGTATTTCATCTGGCTGTCATCTGTCTCTCATCTATCCATCCACTCATCCATCTCTCTGTCTATTATCCATTTATCATCTATCTATCCATTCATCCATCTATCTGTCCATCCAGTATCATTAGGTATCATCTATCTATCTATCTATCTATCTATCTATCTATCTATCTATCTATCTATCTACACTTGTGCACACACACACGCACATGTACACACACACAAGGACACATATCTAACGAGGGGGACACAAAAAAAGCACAGAATCATCTTTTGGAGGGCAGGTCCTTTGTAGTACACTCAGAAGTTATTCCTCGAGATCAAAAGGTCAACCAGCCAGGCTCAGTGGCTCAGCCTGTAATCCCACGCCTTAGAAGGCTGAGGTGAGTGGATTGCCTGAGCCCGTGGGTTCGAGACCCACCTGGGCAGCGAGACCTCATCTCTACAATAAATCAAAAAATCAGCCAGGCATGGTAGCGCATGCCTGTAATTCCAGCTACTTGGAAGGCTGAGGCGGAAGGATCGCCGGAGCCCAGCAGGTCGAGGCTGTGGTGACCGGAAGCAGCCACTGCACTCCAGTCTGGGTGACAGAGTGAGATACCAACTCAAAAAAAAAGAAAGTCAACCAAAGTTTTTATCTGGAAGTTTTGAGAAGGTTTTGTCGTGATTTGTGGAAGAAATGTCCCATGTTGTGGTAAATAGGTGACTGGGTATTACACCATAAAAACCTACCTACCCATACTGAGTGTTCAGCAGTTTTTGACCAAAAACGGTATGATTCCCATGTCCCACCCTCCCTATTCACCTGATCTCGCCCTGAGTGACCTTTTTTTTTTGGTTTCTCCAGGGGAAAAAAAGTCCTCAAAGGGAAATGTTTTGCCAATGTGGAAAAGCGAAACAAAAAGTGGCAGAAGTACTAAAAGGTATCAAAATTGATATATTTACGGCTGGGCTCGGTGGCTCAGCCTGTCATCCCAGCACTTTGGGAGGCCGAGGCGAGTGAATTGCCTGAGCCCACAGGTTCAAGATCCACCTGGGCAACTTGGTGAGACCTTGTCTCTACAATAAATCAAAAATTAGCCAGGAGTGGTAGCACACGCCTGTAGTTCCAGTTACTTGGAAGGCTGAGGTGGAAGGATCACTGGAGTCCAGCAGGTCAAGACTGTGGTGACCGGGAGTGTGTCACTGTACTCCAGTCTGGGCGACAGAGTGAGACTCCAACTCAAATAAATAAATAAATAAATAAATAAATAAATAAATAAATAAAAACAAAATTGATGTATTTAAAAACTGTTTTGAAAAATGTGGTACACATACACAATGTAATATTATGCAGCCATAAAGAACAACATCATGAACTTCACAGCAACCTGGATGGACTTAAAGTCTACAATACTGAGTGATCTTTCACAGAAACAAAGAACTGAGTATCACAAGTTCTCACTCATAAGTAGACCTTGAACCATTATTGTAATACTATAAGAAAAAGATTGGCAGTAGTGGGAAACTGCTGGGACGGGGGCAGGGAAGTGGGATTGGCAGTAGAGGGAGTCTGCCTGGGGTCGGGGGAGGCATACCTCATTAACAAGGGTACCTGAATAATGAATATTTGTATACTTAACCCTGAATTGCACCCCACATCTTTAAAATAAAAAAATTAAAAGTAAAAAAAAGAAGGAAAAAACAGTCTATAATAAAATAAAACAAAAACTTTTGAGCAGTGGAAAAGTGTCTTGATGAGTATATTGCATCAAATAGAAAGTACTTTGAAGATGACTGAAGTTTAAACATGTAAGAATAAATGCACAATTTTTAATAAATAAATTCTGGGTTTTGGGGGGTCAACCCTCATATAAATTCAAATAGCCCAGATAGGTTCGTTGTGTTTTAATCTAGGATTAAAATTGAATTTATTTTGTCCCTATTTAAAATAGTGTGAAGTGTACCCAGCAACATCATCCTTAAGAAGGTTGTCATGATGCCCTCTTGTACTCTCTTGCTACAAGTCTTCCCTCTCCCTCCTCAGGTGCCCATACCTATCAGTGCTGTTGTATATCCTTGATTTTTCAGAAGCTTGGCAAAGGTAATTTCACTTGAGGGAAGTCCTCCAGAAGAGGCTGTAAAGAGAAAAACTCCAGTTCGGGACCAAGATGCCATTCCTAAAGCAGTAAAAAAAAAAAAACCAAAAAAAAAACAACCTTTAGGAACCAGAAGAACACTAGAGCTAAGAGGCTGCCCAGAGGGGGACAACAGCCCCAGCAATGCAGACAGGAGGTTACCTGATCGGATGGGGTACCGGCCCGTCAAAAAGGCTGCCCTGCTTGGTGTACACAGAGGTGATGCTGCTAGGTGCTGGGTGAGTTTCACTCCCTCACTGGCCAACTGGTCAATATTGGGAGTCCTAGAACAAAAGAATCATGGCATTTGTGATGATCTTCAAAATGAAGCTTCCCCATGGTTCTTTATAGTAGGAAACCTCTCAATGACCAGGGGAAATTGTGTGGTTGTATGAAAGAGAAAGGGGAGATGGGAGGCAGGGGAGGTAAGGAAGAAGTGACACAGAACCAAGGCTCAAAATGAAACAAAACCATGGAGATGTGTAAGTGATCCAGGTGGAACATCCCTAGGGAGTTCATTTTTGCCTCAGAGGACTCTGAGTTCCTGTTTCTTCTAGTCCTAGGTTAGAAGAGAGGACCAAGTCTTAGGAATGGACTACTACAAAGAAAGACAGTAAGGGATGAGTGAGGATAAGACTTCACTCTTCTCCCACCCATGTGCCCCAAGTTACCTCTGTGATCCCAAAGGAGAAAGTGCTAGGCTCAGCCTGACCCTCTCTTTTCAGCCACAGCCAAAGGAAATCCAACCAGCTCTTATGAGCCTCTACCTAATTTTCACACACTCCCAGGGACAGGGAATAATCAGATTCAATGTGCTTCTACCAATGACTATCAATAAATGGATTAATATGATCCACAAAAAAGAAACACACACTACAGTGAAGAAATGATATACTTTGACTTCCATACACTCTTTGCTGGCCATTTTTTATGCTTAATAAATACTTATTTATAAGCTCACTTGTAGGATGATATATTATGTAAGATAAGCCATCCTAGTGCCTTTTCTCCATGAATGGATTGGCTGATCATCTTTGGAAGTCATTCAGAAATTAACATCTTTCAATGTTTAGACTATATCAAGCCATATTTCTCTACATCCTCCACCAGGCACCCAGGTCCCTTCCTGTCTAACTGGTCATCTTTTATCCTTCAGTTGTGGGCATAGATTGAATTCTCATGGGCCTCCAGTGCCTTCCCTTGTACATGGGAGAAGTCTGCTTTATGTACAGGACAGTAGTCCATACTGCCCCATCACAGCAACTTCCTTGCTGTAAAGTGATGGCAGGCTAACTGCACTCTCTTCCAAGATGGCTACCTGTAAGGTGGGAATATGCTTCTTGCTCATTGGTTCTACAGCTTCCCTAGACCAGTACCTTCAAAGAGTAGTGCCACAATAATGTATAGCTTGAAGGGGAAAATCATTTCATTGAATTGGTGAGGTCAAACTAATCTGCTATCTATTAATTTGGTGTATGTGTTTAATTAATAATATTTCTACTTTGCTTTTGCCATAAAGAACGAGATGCTTAGAAAGCAGAAACTATCCATGTATTTGAATTAAATCTCCTAGTGTCTAAATTGGCTCATGGAAGAATTTGACTATTCTGGAGTGTGATATACAAAATATAAAATGAGAAATGTAATTCAGAAAGAATTAGAATCAAATATGGAGACTAAGACAGATCTATGGTAGATATTGCCATGAATTTTTCCATGAGATTTTTATAGACATTTTTCTTTTGATAATTGGTAAATACTTAACCTTAGGCTAGATTTTAACTTTTTAATTAAAATATCATAGTAGGAACAGTTATCTATTTTCTCAATAAACTCTGGGAATACCTAATATTAAAAATAAATAAAATAATAGAAATTATGACCCTGATAAGAATAAATTAAATTAATAAGATGTGTATCACAAATGTAAAAAAGTGATCTCTAAATGTTTTACAAAATTAGGCAAAAAGTGGGGCAGACAACATAAACTGTTAACTAAAATTTTGGGAGAACATTGAGTGTAGATTCTATCCCTGTATATGCTTTTAAAAACCTAACCAATGTTATAGGTCAGTATACATTTAAAAAAATAAAAAGCAACATTTGACACAAAGATTCACGTTGAAATGGAGATATATTTGACTATGCCTTATGGACATGTTTTCCCTTAAAAAATAGTTTATTTAATTGTTCCTTGATCTGCTGTATAATCATAAAATACACTTTACAAGATACATTGTCATGTTGAAAAGAGGAAGAGCCAGTGAATGGCATGAAAATAAATCAGTGACCCATGACACTTGGCGATGATCCATCCCAGGCTTCAGATATTTAGTATTCACAGATCCTACAAGAAAATTCTAGTAAAAGTAAATGATCTCTTTTCCCACCCTCTCCTTTAATTTAGTTTGTATCGATCTTTTGTGTGATGAAGCTCCCCACAGAACTATTTTTATGTCATCGTTTCCACGTTATTAGGAAGAGAAAATGAAACTCTAATGTCAATATTCTACTACACAAGAACTTACTTTCCTTTGAAAACTAAAAGGCCCCTAAAATATATCTTGTGTTAAGTCAATTTTAGGCAGAGGGCTTAGAAACCAAACACCCTCCTCTAGAAAGATGTTCAGACCCAAGCATCCAATGCTCCTGAGTCTAGTTCTTGTTATATTATTTGCTGAGTCATCCCTGCACCTTTAAAGGTTATGTGATCATAAAACACGACATGTCTTTCCATGATTGTTTGCCTGTGCTATGGTCTCAATGTTTGCATCCCTCCAAAATTCATATGTTGAAATTCTTACCCCCCAACATGATGGTCTTAGGAGGTGGGGCCTTTGGGAGGTGAGTGGCATATAATTTAATAAGATGTGTATCACAAATCTAAAAAAGTGATCTCTAAATATTTTACAGAATTAGTGCCCTTATGAAAGGGACCTCAGAGAGCTCCCTCACTCTATTCACCTTACAAGAAGGCATCATCTATGAACCAGGAAGCGGGTCCTCATGAGACACTGAATCTGTTTATGCTTTGATCTTGGACTTCCAATTTTCAGAACAATAAGCAATATATATCTGTTGTTTATAAGTCACAGAGTCTATGGCATTTTATTATAGCAGCCTGGATAGACTAAGACAGCCTGGGTGGCTGATGATGATGGGTAGCTGGGCAGAAAGAGGGAGTTAGGTATGGAGGTGAGAGTAAGTGGTTAATAAACTGGAATGGAGTGAGACAGGATCAGAACCAACTGGAACAAAGCCAGACGCCAAAAAGAGAAGATAAAGCAGGTGAACAAAAAGGACAAAAATGAGAATATGTACAAAACAGCATAGTAGCAGTCAGTAAGAAAGAATTATGATCATATAATGCCGTTCTAGTGATGTCTCTGAGTTTATACAAATCACTGACCATAGCCAAATACACTCACACCTGCCTTCATGATGTCTATGTCTCAGTATATCTACATATATAAAGCCATGCATAGAATTATGCTGTTTAGAGGGTTTGAAACATTTCTACATGTTCTGTGCTTTGTAGATCAGTGTTAACCAACACCAGGGACCGTTGCCTATGAATAGAGCCATGTGTTTACACAGGAGCTGCAGTACCCAACCTGAGAGTCTTGTTCCCATAGCATCCTGGATCTCCAATGCCAAGGTCATCTGCCATCACCAGGACGATGTTCGGCCTTGATGCTGCATGGCTCTGGGCTTCACACAGAAATAACAGCAGAAGGAAAAGGACCCTCATCTTCCTGCAAAAGGCAAGGAGACAAAAGGAAGTTGAAGGATGCTGGCTCGTGGTTGGCCATGGCCCTCCTTCTCTGGGACTCTCCTTGCATGAGTTTCAGAAGAGGCCATTCTTTATATCCATCTGTCCTAGACGATAGTGCTCAGAAGACACTTATCTAAGAGGTTGCTGGGCAAAGAATTTTATCCTTTCTTTCCTGTGCTTTTGTTTCCAAATTATACTCTTCCTTCTCCATGGTTGGCCATGACCTCTCTTTTTTCCCCTAGACCAAACTGGAGGTTCTGTTTAGAAAAATGAAAACAACCACCTCCGAATGCCTCTTTATTGAAGACAGGCTCCTCCATGAGCTAAATGATCTTTCTTTGAACACTGAAAAGATAGGTGTTGCATAAAGATCCAATTTTCAAAGTCCTATCCTTTCTAAAATTAACAATGGGTTTTGGCTTAGTAGCTTTTTAAAAGGAAACATATACACCTCTCAAAATTCTAAGTGCATAAGGCCACCAGCATGGGGCAGCTCTGGGTGATAGCAAATGTACCAAGAGAAGGGAATCCATTGTCTTGTTTGTCATCCCAACACACTCTCACCTTATAGCATTTAATTTCTTGAAAGAATAAGAGGCTGGAGGTATTTCATGGGAGGATTGTGGCATGAGCACTCACACCTGACACTCCCTCTCTGCAGCCCAAAGAAATTGCCCACGGGGAATTCATACAGGAAGGGAACCTGCAAGCACCTGAGCAACTGGGGAGAATAGCATCCTTCTGCCTGACTCATTGCTGCAGATGGGCAAGGTTAAATGTGCACAGGGTCAGATTGAAGAATGCACCTACCTGAGCTCTCACACTCACCCTGAGACAGGAGCCTGGGGAAGCAAGAGAAGACTAGCAGAATTTATGGCATCAGGAACTCAGAGGGTTGGGGCTCTGTACGAGACACCAGAGGCTCATGGTGGTTCCTCCCACACACACACATCTGAGAAAATGGTATGGGTGCAGCCAAACACACCTGGCTGCCAGCCCAGGAGCTTGCCCCAGTTGCTCTACTCTGGTCCTCCCTGTCCTTTTACTCTGCTTCCTTGTTCTCTATCATGCTTATCTTCATTTGATGTGGTCAGAAGAATAATGGCCCTCCCTGCAAAGTTGTCCACACCCTAATCTCCCAGAATTTGAGAATATGTTACCTTACAGGACCAAAGGGATTTTGGATTAAAGACCTTGAGAAGGGGAAATTATCTTGGATTATCCAACTGGGCCAAATGCAATCACAAGTATCTTATTAAAAGAAGACAGACTGATAAGATATCTGATTATAGACAAAGAGGAAGGCAAAGTGAAGTGGGGCCATAAGCCAAGGAATGTGAGTAGCCTCCTAGAAGCTGGACAAGGCAAGGAAACAAATTTTCCCTTAAAGCCTCCCAAAAGAGTCAGCTCTGCAAACAACTTGAATTTAGCCCCATAAGGACTACCTTCAGATTTCTGGCCTCCAGAACTGTAAGATAATAAATTGGTGTTGTTTTAAGCCATCCACGTTGTTGTCATTTGTTACAGCAGTCACAGGAAACCAATACCCCATTAGGTGTGTCATAGAACTGCTCCTGGTTTATGGTGGACATTCATGTTTTAGTCTTCTACATGTCAGAAGCTTTCCACAAATATCTAGGGGTCCTTGGTCATCTACTCACATTTAAGAGTGAGACCCAAGAAGTTGGTTCAAAGGTCTGTACATATGTGGGAGGGACTGTGGACTGCAGGCTTCACCCTAGAGAGATCACATGCTAGGCTGGGATTTGTATTAAGAGAGTAGATGTCAGGACATGTAAGCCTTTTCTCATGGGTCTGTTTCTTCACTCAGAAACCTCTCTGCCTCCTACTTGAGGTAGACTTGCTTCTGCCTGATGGCATTCTGGGATCAGAGTAAGGGAAGTTGCTGGCATATCTCCCTTTGTCATAGGTAAGCTTACTAGTCTCCTGTTTCAACCCCTTGTTTTCCCTCTAATCTAGGCTGTGCCTAATGCCCAGCCCTTGGAGGCTTACTAATGCACTTTCTTGATAGAACTAACTCATTTCCAGCAGAATGGTGAGCACTGTCTGACTCTGAAGAGTTGGGTAGGATTGAAGGAGAGATCTGGAAGCCCAACCTCTTCCATAAAGACATGCAAACAATACTAGAACTTTGGGAGGCTGAGGTGGAAGGATAACTTAAGGCCAGGAGTTCAAGTTCAGCCTGGGAAACACAACAAGACTCCATTTCTACAAAAAAAAAAAATTAAAAGTTAGCCAGGTATGGTGAGGTACACCTGTTGTCTCAGCTACTTGGGAGGATAGGGTGGGAGGATCGCTTTAGCCCAGGAGCTGGAGATTACAGTGAGCTATGATCAATCACACCATTGTACTCCAGCTGTCTCTTAAACACACACACACACACACACACACACACACAATCCTTCGCTTTTCAACCTCACTCCTCACTCTGCCTTCAGCAGTACTCAGACCTTCCTGTCTTGAGCCTTGGTGGGTTCTCTGGTGCCAACATCAGTAGCTTCCCCCTCAACATTCAGGTCAGTGTCCTCTTCCTTTCTTCTGCTAAGTCCATGAATTGCCATCTTCCATGAAGCTCTTGGCATCTCTTGTATAGAGGTCCACATGTGTGTTCATCCTTTCAGGTTGAACAAGAAGTCTGTCTTCCTTATAATTAGATCTCCTCTTGTGGGGGGAAACATTGGTTCTCTAGTTCATGTTGTTCTTTGCCTCTTTTCTCACGCCTGTAGTTTTGCCGCCCCAACTCCTTTCCTACCACCCTGCAGCAGGTTCCCTGTTCAGAGCCAGAGCCTACATTGGCAGGGTTCATAGGAGGTTGCTCAACAGGTTTCCCAGGCAAAGAGAGGGGAGGTCTGACTGGGTTCCCTAGGAGATGGCAGGTAGGTGTGCAAGGTAACAAACCATAGCCTCAGGTCTCGTTCAATATTCATGTCCTTCTTGTCTTCTTCCCACCAGCATGGATAAGCAGCAACACTCCTAGCCCTTGGTTTCCAGCCAGGTTCTTGCTCTCGACATCTTCCAGAGCCTAGTCTCTGTGGCTGTGATCCTGAGGCCAGGAGTCAGAATGCATCACTTTGTCTTTCTGCTCCTCACTGGCCCGTGGAGGCTTTTTTTGTGGGGGAGGGGCGGGAAGCTAATCATATTAGTTCTCTGAACCTTAGTTTCCTTAACTATAAAGTGAGAGAAATTGATTAATGATTTTTTTGTTGTGTTGAATAATTTTTACTTTATTTTTAGAGATGTAGTCTTGCTGTGTTACCCAGGCTAGAGTGCAATGGGGCAATCACAGCTCACTGCAGCTTCAAATTCCTGGGCTTAAGTGATCCTTCCACCTCAGTCTCCCAAGAAACTCGGTCTACAGGCACGTGCCACCATGCCTTGATAATTTTTAAATTTTTTTATAGAGATGAGGTCTCGCTATGTTGCCCCGACTGGTCTCAAACTCCTGGGCTTATGGGATCCTCCTGCCTCAGCCTGCCAAAGCATTGGGATTACAGGCATGAGCCACTATGCCTGGCCTTTTATTTTATTTTTATTGATTTGGGGAGTACAAGTACTGATTTCTTACAAGCATATGTTGCGCAGTTGTGGAGTCTGGGCTTTTAGTGTGCCCATCTGTTCTCTCTTTATGCCTTGACTCTTATTGCTATGTCTCTGGAGTACCAAGGGTCCTCCAGTGTATGAACTGACAGAGTCATCTTGACCTTTGTCTGCATCTGCTCCTCTACTCTCACATGCCTCACTTGATGCCAACAGCTCCTCTGGAGTCACTGAACACATTGGGCATTAAGGTCAGTGGACACCACATGGAGGATCCTTCTTCTTGACTTTCTAGCAACACCTGTCAGAAAAAAAGCAGGCTCTTCTCTCTCTGGAATGCGATCCTCTTTGAACACACTCCCAGAGTATTCTGTTGTGTCCCTCTTTCTGCAGAGTCTCTATTTGCTGGTTCTCCTTCATTTATGGACCTCAGAATCAGGATTAACACACCACATAATTACAGAGGCTGGACATGACATGGGAAATAACCTGGATTTAATAGAGGGAGGGGAACTTTGCCAGCCAAGAGCTTGCACCCTTGCTAAAGATCACCACACTTGTAGGATATTCTCATTTTTAAAAAGAAGATAGACACAGATTGGCATCACCACCAATTTCATAATGTAAAGAAATGTGGGCCAATCTGGTACAAACTACTCAAAAAACAATAAAAAATTACTAAACATATGTCCTGGCCATACGCCACTTCTAGGTGTCCATTGTCCAGTCTGTACTGCAAATGTTGTGAGCCTCAAGACACTCTCTGCTTCCCTGATCTCCCTATAATTATGAGATGTAAATGCCATCTTTGTGAGATTAAATACTGACCAAATGCTGAGACATGACTAAGTTTTACTTCCAGGTAGACTGTATGGCCAATTGTTGAACTAAGATCTCTATATGGACATCTCCCTGGTATCTGAAATTAACATGTTCAAACAGAGATCATCATTGTAAAAAGCACTCTGCTATTACTACATGAATCCATTTTTGCTACTGAGTCTAAAAGCCACCAATCCAGTTTAAACTGCTTCAGTGGTAAATACAGATGAACCTGATGCAGTCACTTCTTACTGAATTCCTCACATAAGACTGTATAAAATATTTCAGTTATACAGTGCTTTAATGACAGAGAGCTTGTCTATCTTTGAATGCGTAGGCTAATAAGGAATTGACTATTTCTTTTTTTAAAAAAGCATAAATTAGGAATATGGACTTTATACAGCCAAAAGCTGGCATAAACTTAAAGGCCAGCTTGAGGTCATACAACAACATGCAGATAATATGCAGATAATAAAATTTCAGTTAGAAAAGGACTTGTGCTGGACTCGGTGGCTCAGCCGGTAATCCAAGCACTTTGGGAGGCTGAAGCGAATGGATTGCCTGAGCCCATGGGTTCGAGACCCGCCTGGGCAACTTGGC